CTATTATTGGACGATATTATGCTATGGATAGAGATAAAAGGTGGGAAAGAACAAAAATCGCTTTTGAAGCTTTGACTAAAGGCATTGGAGAAATATCTAAAGACCCTTTGAATGTAAATACCATTTTCCTTCTATCTTTGTCGTTTTTTATTTACTAATTATCGTAATATATGCATTATTAGACAATCCGCGACCGATATTCCAAAGATGAAACCGACGAATTTCTAAAACCTATTATAGTTTGCGAGGATGGAATTATCCAAGGTACGTTTAATACACATTTATTTCTTTTACGTGTCAAACTAACCGAGATGTCATATTTATTATAGATGGAGACACACTTTTCTTTTTCAACTTTCGGTCCGATCGAATGCGTCAAATTGTTCAGACATTTGGAATTTCTCCTCCACCATTTGAAATTGAAGTCCCCAAAAATCTTGTAAGTAACATAATAATCTGTGATATAAAATAATTTAATCATGGGCCAGAAAGATTATACATACCTCTTTTTTTGTCGAAACTGCTTAGGACATTACTTGCATGACAAAATACAAAACTGAATTCCCGTTTCCTGTTACATTTCCTCCGCAAACAATGGATAATGTCATGGCTGAGTGGCTCGCCAAACAAAAAATTCCTCAATGTCATGTTGCCGGTAATGCTTAATTGAATATTCAAGTTATCACTTAGTCACAAAGTTTAAACCATTATGGTTGTTTTTTTCTTTATTCTAACATATAATATTGCAATAGAGACGGAAAAATATGCACATGTAACATTCTTTTTTAATGGTGGCGTTGAGAAACAATTTGAACTTGAGCATCGTGATTTGATTCCTTCTCCAAAAGTTGCCACGTATGATCTCAAACCTGAAATGTCTGCTATTGAAATCGCAGAAAAAGTTTCCGAGCAAATATCTAGTGGAATGTTCCCGTTTGTTATGTGCAACTTTGCGAATCCGGACATGGTTGGACATACTGGAAAATACTCTGCTGCAGTTAAGGCCGTTGAAATCACAGATAAAGCCATTGGAATTATTCATGATGCCTGTCAAAAACATGAATATATTCTTTTTGTGACCTCAGATCATGGAAATGCTGAGCAAATGCAAGATGAACATGGACAACCCCATACAGCTCATACTTGTAATCCCGGTAAGTTATTCGGTAATTAAAACACAGTTAGACTAGCCGACGTTAACCAAATATATCAAAATTTTAGTTCCATTCATAATGACTTCTAAAGAACATTCTTTTAAGAATCCTGCTAAAGGGGCATTATGTGACGTAGCTCCTACGATTTTGGATGTTGCTGGCTGGGGTACTCCTAAAGAAATGACTGGCATATCTTTATTAAATAAATGATCGTAGCTTAATATACTATCATATGTCATAAATGCGCTCATGATGCACAACGTTAAAAATTTAACAAACTTCAATGTGACGAAAAAGTAAAAAAAAGGCTAAATATTTAGAACCATAAAGGACTGTAATATCCTCTATAATGCTCACAGTAATAAAAAAAATTTCACAAGTTCAACAAATAATTACAAACAAATTGGGTTGCTATTTTTTGTAATTTTATTTATAACTTGTAATTACAAAATATGATCAGTAAATTTTCCATATAAAAACCGTTAATTACGCAGGTTTACCTAAATTACAAAGCAAATTTATCAATAAAGTGCAAAAACATTTAAATAAATAATTTGATAATTAATTATGGTTACTTTTGCTTCGTATCTTGAATCTCCCATACCGATGACAATATATTTTAACTACCAATATTAGATAGCCTTATGAGAAATTAATTACTCTAATCGGCGACCAATCGGATCGAAAACTTGTAAATCAACAATAGCCTCTCTTGCTTTTTGTCTTATTGGATATGTTGTTTCACACCAATGCAAAATCAAAACTCTTAAACATTTTCGTTCTTTCGCGTATCGCGTAACAACCGCAAGATGTTCATCGTTTATCCATCTGTATAATCCCATGCACTTAATTTGAGCTTTACATGTTTCCAACAAGAATTTCCGTAAAGACTCGGCTGAAAATTTCCAAGGTGCAAAGATCTTTAATCGACTTAACGTCTGTGGAATAACAAAGCCCATCGCTGGCAGGAAATGGTCAACAGGATAATAAAAATCTTCTTTATTATCATTAGCAGACGTGTTAATCGTCAAGCTCACAAGCTTTGTACAATTACACAAGAGCTGGTAAAGTTCCTCCAAGTCTTCGCTTTCTATCGGAACATCAAGATATGTAAGGTTAGGACAATTGTAAGCAATCGCCTGTATAACTTTTGTATGTCGCGGATTTGATCGTTTTCCAACTCCCTCGTTACATTGCCAAGTCAATATGAATTCTCGTAAACTGAGTCCGTTTGTTGTAATCATCGTTGCTAAAGCGATTGGTGGCGGCTTGCATCGAGTAAATACCAATTTCCTTAAATGTGGAAAGGATGCTGCCGCCAATGTGAGAAGATCATCTTTGCGGAAAGGCATCCAATTGTCGAATCGTAATATTTCCAGATTTTTGCATACAGATAGCACACATAAAGGACCTCCATTATCGATCGGGTTTCTGTTATTTATGAAGTCTACTCTAGTGAGCGAATTAGATAAAAATTTTTTCTCTAATGCATCTTTATCTAAGTGTGGCCATCTTTTAATGACTGTCAAATGTTTCAATTTTTTTTGTGACTGAAGGAGTAAAAATATTTCCACATCATTACCCCAAGAACATTCAATGTTTAATTTGTTTAAGTTTGTAGCAATCCGTGAGGCGAATGACAAGTTTCTTGGAATGCAATCATCACAATCCAAAAACTGCAACTTTGGCAAGAATGTATCAGCAAACTCTTCGTATCGATATAAATCAAGATATTCGCCTTCACGATGGGAGACGACAGACATGGAGAGTTTTGAAAGGTTTATCGACTGCTCCACAATTAGGTCGATTAAAAGATCCAAGATTATGCTGGTCGGATAAAGCACCATATCAGGTTCTAAATCTTGAGTAATAACATGGGTATCAATACCTTGGTATGTATCAATACCTTGGTATTTACACCAAGATTCGATAGCTTGGTGCAATGCTTGGTAATCAAGTTTTTGTAAAAATTTTATATAGTCAAAAGCAGGCTGTGTGTCCAAAGTTGATGTAGGAAATATACCACAAAAAAATTCTCTTAACAAATCCTTTGAGGACTCATCCAGGCACTCCAGATAGCTATTAATAAGTTTGAAATGCGATCCAGACCAAAGATCTTCAAATGGACAACGCCATAAAATGGGGACTGCACAACGACACCAAAAACGATTAACTAATAAGCACGAATGTAAAGATTGAATGTCGTCTTCGAGGAACTCAAGAGTAGGTATCAAAACTTCTTCTAATAGAAAAACTGACATTATCAATATTTTACAATTTCAGAAACCAGTGATAAATTTTTTACGACAGGATGAAACCCTAGCTTTCCCACAAAAAATTGGTCACCCCCTGTAATTTTGACCAATTGAATTTCAGAATCAAGTATAACATTTTTTACTGATAAGCATGATATTGTTCTAATCACACGTTTTTTTGGTTTTCATTTTACGCGTAACTTTTTTACTTAGAAAACAAAACACATTTGGTTTGACACTTGATCTTAAGTTGATTGCTGGAGATGAACAAATTTTTGTGGGAACGCTATCTAAAATACGAAAAAATCTATGGGCAGTTCTTAGGGACAGATCTTCCCCAGTATCGCCACCAAAAAATCTTCCCCAGTATCGCCATAAAAAACGAACTTTACTGTCACGTGTTGTGGCGCACGAAAAAACTTCAAGCTAGTTAGGGTTAGTGCTTACTATAAAATAGCAGGCATATAGTAAAATTGTTCAAGGAAATTTTTTTGTTAGAGCGCAAATGGTGGTTTCTGAGTGCATCTATGTACCCCCCAGAAATGGTGGGTTTAACGTTACACACTGATCGTTCGTGTAGTATCTACATAATTGATGTTGATTGGCTGGATACCGGATTTTGGGGCACATATGGTGCGAGCGGCTTTAAATCTCCATAAAAATTGGCTTTACAGAAAATGCTACTCCTCTTTTAAAAATTTATAA